ACTTGCATTGTTGTTAGTCGTGAAGTCGTGTCCGACCCATTGCGACCCCATGGACAACATTCCTCCAGGCCTTCCTGTCCTCCACCATCCCCCGGAGTCCACTTAAGCTCACGCCAACTGCCTCAGTGACTCCATCCAGCCACCTCATCCTCTGCCGTCCCCTCCTTCTTTTGCCATCTATTGTTTCCAGCTTTAGACTCTTCTCCAGAGAGTCCTTCCTTCTCATTAGGTGGCCGAAGTATTTGAGTTTCAACTTCAGTATCTGGCCTTCTAAAGAACAGTCAGGGTTGATCTCCTCTAGGACTGACTGGTTTGATCGCCTTGCGGTCCAAGGGACTCGAAGGAGTCTCCTCCAGCACCACAATTCAAAGGCCTCAGTTCTTCGGCGCTCAGCCTTCCTTTTGGTCCAACTTTCACAGCAATACATTGCAACTGGGAAAACCATAGCCTTGACTATAAGCACTTTTGTTGGCAGAAAAGTGCGACAGTTTGTTGTGATCCACACAATCAAAGGCTTTAGCACAGTCAGTGAAGCAGAAGTAGATGTTTTTCTGGAACTCCCTAGCTTTCTCTATGATCCAGCGTATGTTGGCAATTTGATCTCTAGTTCCTCTCCCTCTTCGAAATCCTGCCTGTACTTCTGGTAGTTCTCGGTCCACATACTGCTGGAGCCTAGCTTGTAGGATTTTGAGCATCACTTTGCTAGCATGTGAAATGAATGCAATGGTGCGACAGTTTGAACATTGTTTGGCATTGCCCTTCTTTGGGATCGGAATGTAAACTGACCTTTTCCAATCCTGTGGCCACTGTTGAGTTTTCCAAATTTGCTGGCATATTGAGTGTAGCACTTTTACTGCATCGTCTTTTAGGATTTTGAATAGCTCAGCTGGAATATTGTCACCTCCACTAGATTTGTTGTTGCTCAGACTTCCTAAGACCCGTTTGACTTCACATTCCAGGATATCTGGCTCGAGGGGGATGTTAAGCTCTTTCTTGTATAGTTCCTCTGTAATCTTGCCACCTCTTCTTAATCTCTTCTGCCTCTGTTGGGTCCCTGTCATTTTGCTCCTTTATCATGCCCATCTTTGCATGAAATGTTCCCTTCATATCTCCAATTTTCTTGAAGAGATCTCTGATCCTCCCTATTCTATTGTTTTCTTCTATTTCTTTGCACTGTTCATTTAAGAAGGCCTTATCTCTTCTGGCTATTCTCTGGAATTCTGCATTCAATTGGGTGTATCTTTCTCTTTCTCCCTTGCCTTTCGCTTCCCTTCTTTCCTCAGCTATTTGTAAAGCTTCCTCATTTTGTTTTCTTGCATTTCTTTTTCTTTGGGATGGTTTTAGTTGCTGTCTCCTGTACAATGTTGCGAACCTCCATCCATAGTTCTTCAGGCACTCTGTCTATCAGATTAATTCCTTAAATCTATTTGTCATCTCTACTGTGTATTCATCAGGGATATGATTTAGGTCATACCTGAGTGGCCTAGTGCTTTTCCCTACTTTCTTCTATTTAAGCCTAAATTTTGTAACGAGAAGCTCATGATCTGAGCCGCAGTCAGCTCCTGGTCTAGTTTTTACTAACTGTATAGAGCTTCTCCATCTTTGGCTGCAGAGCACATAGTCAGTCTGATTTCTGTGTTGATCATCTGGTGATGTCCATGTGTAACAAGGGGCAGCAAACAAAAAATAGTGTATACATCAATATAACTATTGTAACAGAAAGTTACCCCTTACTGTTTTCCCCATCTACAAAGCTACAGCTCTCAACAAAATGAAGCTGCACACTTATCATTTTTCCCTTCCATTCTTCGCCTGTGTTATGTGCTTGTGGAAACATTTATATGTCAGAAAGTACCTAAGTGCTGTGTGTGCTGACTGTGCTTTTCATATATAACTTTCAGTTATTGTAGGTATAGGAAGAAATGAGTGGTAATTTGCCATTTAGACTATTGAACTGCTGTCTCCAGGAAACAGATTAAGCATGGTACTGATTGTTCACCAGATCAGCTTTATGTCTGTGGAGGGAGACTGTGTTATGCCAGCACATTAAAAAATATTGGTATTCTGTTAAGAGAAGGATTTACCTATTTTATGGTAATCTGACACTTAGTCAGGAGTTCACAGATTAAAGTTACAATCCTAAACTAGGCAGTAAATCTTGTTGAATTGTTTTAAAATTGTACTGAATGCTGTATAAACAGAGGGATGTGCCTCTGCCACAACAAGCTGTAATCTTAAAAGAAATGTAGCACAAACGAAGAATGGAACCTGGGAATAAAGCTGAAACATTTAATGCAAAATGTCTGATGGTCAAGGTGAAGACCTTTGGACATTGGTAATTATCTTTATTATTGCTGAGCCTCCTCTACATCTGATTAACTTTGCATTTTGAAGCAGACTTTCCGCCATTATAGTTACTCTCCTATTCTACTTGCTCAAATCATCATTCCATTGGTATCTTTTGTTAAGATGAAATGTTTTTGTCAAGCTAGTGCAGTTCTTACCTAGAGCTGTTCTGGGAGAGGAGAGAAGTGGAATCTGCAGTAATTTTTATAGGCCAAGCCAAAATTATACGGCACTGGTTAATTGGGAAGGTGTTCAGAATCACTATATAACATGTGCATAACATGTATGGTCTCAGGGCTTGTCTAAAATATGTAATTTACATGGTATCATATTCTTTCTATTATGTTCACATATACGTACATGTGCGTTTGTGGAGAGAGAGAATCAAAGCACAAAAATAAAGAAACCCCAAACTCCAAATGTTTATTAGAAAGCATTTCATAAAGCGTCTTAGACTTTATCTAGAAATGTCACAAAGTAGCTGGCCCATTTTCCATTGCTATAAATAAAATCTGATGCAGGGACATTAAAAAAAGATGAGAATGGCTTATAATTACTTGTACCAGGACATGATTTCCTAGTGAAATAAGCCACAATTCAGAATCTTGATGGCAGAAGTGATCTTTACCTTGTGCTGTTCATAATTTTTTAGCTCATCAGAAATGTACAAAGCTCCCCAGCATGAGAATATTATGGAGCATTGTGGGCTTCTACTACTGTGTCCAAGGTTCCAGGCAGTCAGTGCACCAGCACTCTTATTGTACTGCTCCTGGGGACAAGAGAGGTCTGTTAATAGTGCCTTGTTTCTTGTGTTGAGGCTCAAAAGGGGGTTCGTAAAGGCAACAACTGGCAGCTGTGCCACTATCTTGCTGCTCTAGATTGATCATAAGAGCTGTGCCTATCTAGTTCAACATCCTGTTCACACAGTAGCCCTCCAGTTATGTATGTGGAATTTACAAGGTAGACATGTGAAATTGCACCCTTGCCCAAGAAAAAAAGCCCTACAATGAAGCTGGAGGGAGAGGATTCTCAAAGGAGTGGTTTGCATTCTGCTATTGATAGGGGCAGGTTGAGCCAGAATTCCATTGAATAGCTCAGTGTTAGAACATACATGTTTTTTGCATGAAGTGATGTTCAGTTAAAAGGCAGAGTAGGGTAGCAGAGCAGAGCTGAACAAGATATTGGTGTGATCCTTTGGAGAGATACTATTTCTCGGAGAAGCCAGCATTGACTGACTTGGTTTAAAATGGTTTCATATATTCATGTTAGTTCTTGTTACCAAACAGCAGCTGAATGGGGATGGGCTACGATGCATCTTTGCAAATTTGATCAGGGATGTGGAATGTGCAGCTCTCCATTTCTGGTGAAATAGAGAGCCCATGAGCCTTAGCCAGCAAAGCTAGTGGTGAGGTAAGTCCCATGAGCCTTAGCCAGCAAAGCCAGTGGTGAGGTATGATGGGACTTCCAGTTCAACAGCATCTGGAGGGGCACATGCTCTTTACCTCTAAATTAGCTAGATAAGTAAGCCTTTAAAAAACAGGGCAGAGTAGGTGACTGAAAGGATATTTCAAGAGAATAGGTTTGTTCCACATAAAGATGCACAAGCCTTTGACATTTGTTGTATATTAATAATCTAAGCAAGGTTATGTAATTATATTCTAGTTATAAATAATAGGCTATGCAAATGAAACTATGATTGTAAAATGTTTTCTTTATAGCAAACCATTAACTAGGTACGGGTTCAGTGGCATAGAGAAAACAGTGATAATTCACATTTTCTGAGCTTGGCCACTGAAATAGTCATCTTTATCTTTTAGCCTTAATTGATTCCAGATGGCCCACAATAAAAGGCCCTCAAAAGAACTAAAGAACTTGTTCTTTCAGAAAAAGAATAAGCTTCTACAAAGGATGAGTGCATATTTGGAGATGACTCTCCAAAAACTGGTTTGTTAGAAATCTGTTATAGTTTTAAAGAAACATTTCTGTGATTTTCCCTCTTCTCTATATTCTCCCCATTTTATTGATTTGATTTTTCAGATGATATTTTAGAATGGTTATTAATTGAGAGAATGATATTATTATTAGTTATTAAAGAGAATGATATTTTAACTCCAATTAACTGAAATATATATGACTAACTGGACAAATTTGTCTTGACATATATTGTGTGCAATGTTCTAAATACATACTTTTTTCTTTCTGAAAATGTTGTGTATTAAGTGCTCATTTGTGAACGCTTTTCTAATCTGGTGAGATGGACTAATGCAGTAATCTATAGGCAGTTAAATGTGTTATACCCATCATTATATACTGGCTTGTATAAAGACAGAGTACCATGCACTTTGTTTGGTTTTGTTCTGCTACACTGCTGTTCCGTGGAACAGGATAAGACATTTATTCCTGCTGTTTAGTAATTTGTTCTTTGTTGCTACTTCCCAAGAACTACAAATTCAAATCCCCTTTTGAGTTCCTAATGCGCAGTCCTAGTTATTCTTTGCAAATATTATTACCCTTTTTGCAAATATTAATTTGTTATATGACATCAGACAAATAACATTTGTATAGCAATTGTATTAGGTATAAAGGATATAAAATTAAGTAAAACTACTGTGGAAGTAATAGTGTTTTAATTGGGCAATTATTTCTCTTCATAGGTATATGATGTTGATTGATGGCAAGAATGAAGTATATATGATAGACAGAGATAACTCCGTGTTCCACGTATCCGCTCTGGAATTTCCATTTCGTAAAGATCTACGTGCACACTTAGACAATACTCTTTTGGATGGGGTAAGAATGATCACTGTATAACATAGGCTCTTTTTGTTTCAGGAGTATCAGAATCTTGAAGAGTGTTGCAGTGATGAAATTATGTATTTGTTTCATTCCATAGTCTGTCCATCCACTGAGCTTAGAAAAAAATATATCCAGGGATCCACAGAAAAACTTGCCAGGTTGCCAGTGGCAAAAGATGTTACCCAAGTTATTTCATGTTGGCTTTGTAGAAGATAGAAGTGGTGAGAGAGACTGCAAAAGCACTTACAAGAAGTAAATCAAGACATAGCCCTTTTTTTGGAGTCTTCTGCTGTTTGCAGGATTTTTTCCCCTTACTTCAGATTGTTCTTCCCTGTTTTTCAAGGAAGAGCCACTTTGGCTCCAGAAACTACTGCCAGGGCCATTTAAGGGCTTTTTCTAGACTGGGGAAGTTCTCTGCCATCAAATGGTTTATGCAAATTCTAACAGGCTTATGTGGTCCTTGAATTGGGATGGATCTCTTTCTTTTTATGGGAAGAGTGCTTTGCACTCCTAAATGCTGTAAAACCTCCCAGTGTAGGTATAGCTTGCTTTTTTATCTGTGCATTCAGTTTTTCCTCCACATCCAGTGGCTACACAGTGTCACTGTAGCTAGTAGCCAGTCTTGTCCCTATTGCCTTGTGATCTCTTCCCCAGCATAGATAATTGGCTAATTGCTTCTTTGTTCTCCTATTCTCCATTCTCTGGCATCTTATAACTGAGGAGCAGGATGTCTTCTGACTTCCTATCCACAGCTGTACCTCCAGTGGCCCAGAGCTGCTGCTAAAAGCAAACCACAAGACAAGGCTAAAGAGCTCGTGCTCAGAATCAGCAGCTTCTGTTGAAAGAGATGGAGAGCTGGTTTTGAGGTGAATGGGGACCCTCAGCAGCCCTCAGGCCTTGCAGTGATGAAACTTGTATTAACCTATCCTCAAGGTGCAAACAACCTGAGAATGGTAAAAGAGAAAAAGTAGTTCTTATTTGTGCTCATTTATGTACGCACCACCAAAGAAAGAAAAATATTCTAAATAACTGCCCCTCTAGTGTTTAAATTGTGTATTGTATAAATTACTATATCTTCCTGTTTGTCCATGCAACTCAATTTCTTTTTTACGTAAGTCATAAAAATAGAAGAATAAGATAAAATCCAAAAAACAATCAACTTGAGTTCCTCAAAAAATGGCCATACAAGCCACTTACACCCAGCTCCTTAGTAAGTATATAATGATAGTGGAACAGAGAGGGAGAGAGAGAGAGAGAGACTATACATAAACACATTTGCACACAAACGTACATGCATACACATGTACTGTAGATAAGGGCTATACAAGTTAGCAGGACAAAAATGAAAATATTCTTGCATTTTCACATTCAGATGTGATGTATACATACCCATCTTTTGGCATAATAGTAACGTAACGATAATACAATGATAATTATAGTAATAATAACTGAGAGTTAGTGTGGTATAATGGCTAATAGCATGGGACTGGGATTCAGGTAATTTGGGTTCTAGTCCCCGCTCAGTCATGGAGACAACTGGGTGACTTTGGGCCAGTCACAGACTCTCAGTCCAACCTACCTCACAGGCATGTTGTGGGAATAAGATCGAGCAGGTGGAGGGGAATTATGTAAGCCACTTTGAGTTCATTGGAAAAAAGTGGGATGTAAACTCTAATAATCAAAATAAAATGAATAATGCTGTATTCTGTGAGATGCTGTGCCATTCCAGCAGTTTATAGCTCCAGGCTGTTTGCTCTGATAATTTAACATAGAGGATTTCAGACTGATACTTAGTACAGATAAATGAGACACAGTTCACCTTTTGAAATAAGTTACATTTAGTGTGGTAAACAATAATGAGGAAGGCAGTTCAGAATCTTTCACAAACCCTGTGCTCTTAAGTGCTACAGCTGTCATTCTAGCAGACAACAGTTCTACTTGACTGTTCCATCTCTTTCCAGGAATTGTTGTTCAAGTGCATCATGAGGTGTGTGTCTTTCAAGGCTAAAGTGCCCTGTTTATATCTTGGAAGCCCAAGGAGTAAAGTGGAGAGTATAACAGACATTGCAGCAGAGGAGTAAAAGGCTTAACAGTAGCTTCATGATTTGGAATCTTTTTCTGGTTATTGTTGCTATGTAATATTAACATGAAGAAGTATTTTGGATGCACAAATAAACCTACAAACAAATACATTCACATTAGAATTGGTCCAAAATACATAGTTACTAGAGCTGCCAAGATGCTCTTTTTACTTTGCAACTAAAACTATTAGTTGTTGTGAATGTTACGTTGGCTATTCAGGACTCTAGACAGTAACTCAAATGGACTACCCAGTGAAAATTTTCTCATTTTTGTTTCCATAGCAACACAACTGTCATAATGGAAACCCCCAAAGAGATGTTTTTGTTGTTCTTGAAGATTACCCCAGAGCTCAGTAATGTTCCTGGTGTTGGGCTTGCTTATTGATTTCATGCTAATGAAAACTATGAGAAAGAATTTATTACCCAGTTGCTAAATGTGGAGGGAGATGAATTCGCAGCTACCCCTTTCTCTCAAGACAGTGTCCCACTATGATCCTTGTGGGTTTTCAGCCACATTTAATGCTTTTTGTGCTAGGATGTCTCCTTGAAGATCTTAGTCTTAATGTATCTCATGAAAACATTCAGAAATTTCAGAAAACATGAAGTGCATTGTCCCTGGATCCAAAATAATACCCAGTGCTGAAAAAAAGAGCACACATCATTAATTTTTCCCTACAAGAGAAGCATTTCTTGAGACCGCATCAGTGATAACCCTCTCTGTCACTAGATTTTTCGGGGAAGTGTGATTTCCTCATATGCAACAAATGCCTATACAACTTCAAAAACAACATCTGCTAATTTATTTAATATTGTGGAGCAGCCTTAGAGTGAACACAGCCTTGGATTGGATCTGTTACAGACAGATCTTTGAAAGATGAGATCTTAAATATGCTTTCTGTTTGCTTGAGTTTGTTATATGAATGCTAATGGTTGTCTCATAGACCCAGTTTGGATGATTAAACAACTCACAGCTTAATAATGCATTGTTTGGGGGAGTGCAAGAGCGAGCGTGGTGGCTTGCTCCCACTCACCTGCTTCCGTTTGCTAAACAACTCAGCAGTGCCCTAATCTTTGGCTTTTTATCAAGATGTGTGAACCTGTGGATTGTTGAGGGAGAATCAACTTGAAGTTTTAACCTCCAAACCAAACCATGGTTCAAACATTGGGTTGCATCTTTCTCATCAGTTCCGGGTTATACAACCTTGGGTTGTTGAGCAGTGTAGAAGCAGGCAGGCTATCAGGAACAAGCTTGCTGAGCAAGCCATGGTTTGTTAAGTATGGATTGTTTCTTGTGTGCAATGTGGTTATAGTTGTTTTGGAGCATTCTGGATTTAACAGTAATAGGTATATTTTTCGTTGCATTGGCACTATTAACCTTAGCATCCAAAGAATGTAGTGTTCATATAAATTTGTGAGGGTCATGTGTTGTTTTGTATTATTCATGCTTCACTGATGCCATACCATGCATGTAGCATGTTTTTAAGGTACCTGTTTTGGTCGTGTGCTTCTCCTACCCTTTCCTATCAATTGCTCTGTTGTTTTTGGCTTTTAGGCAAGTAATAATAATAAGGG